AAAACAGCTAATATCCATAATTGCTGGGCTTATAATTAATATATAAACAAACCCGAATTATATATGTATATAATTGTAATAGAAAAACTTTACATCAATATTCAATAGATATCCTTTCAAAATATATTTAAATCAGTAAAAAAAAAACCATTTTTATAATATTCAAATCATTTTTTCATTGTTAAAAATAAACAATACGTTCAACTTTATAAACGTTGGTTATAATGTATATACAGGAAACATTCAATAAAATTCTTTGTATAAATACCAAGAAATGTGATTCATGTAATAATGAAACTAAAATAAATCATGTTATCAGACAAAACATTAAGTTATAATGTTTTGTAATTTTTTTTTTATAATTTCCTGAACAATGATAAAATAATTTTCAGAATAGCTCGAATTATATAACAAGTTAACCTTAAATTATGAATCAAATATCAAAAGTGTCGTTGAAGCATAGTGTGACATTATATTTATTGGTTTCAGAACAATATGTCTTTGACAGCAAAAAATGTTCAAGGGTTGTGTAGTTGTGTTAACGTGAATTGAAAGCAAACGATTCTAAAAGAAAAAAAACAGAAAGAGCCGAGTTAAATTCGACAGCTGACAGGATTAAACTTCAATCCCTCTTAACTTGGCAGTAAAACATTGTTTTATATTATACGTGTATTTCAACAATATGCGTATTATATTGTAATCTCAACAAAAAATAAGCCTCAAGAGAAGAAAACAATTGTACCTAGATTGTTTTTGTTTATTAATGTAAATGTAATTTTAAAAACATTTTAATTGGACAGTCGAATGCCCTACATCGTTAATAGAAATGAGAATTTGTGATGCACTTAAATTTATTTTAAAAAAACTTACTCTTCTCTTGGACTTTATGTGCTCCAGCTGCCTCTGTGTACATTCTCCAATGCTTTGACTTCCCCACAGTTCGTGACCGATCATAGCGTAGGTGAAACCCATCAGTCCAATGGGTATAAAATACGTAATTATCATGAATGAAACGTTATAACTGAAATTATATGAAAATATATGTAAATAAACAAACTGAAGATATTTTGTTAAATTAAAATTATTTTGCATA